CTAAAGCCACTCCCTAACCTCTCTTCTTGTTATTTTATTATTATTATTATTTATGTATTATTTATATTATTTAATTAATATTTAATTAATAAATGAAATAAAATAAATAAAGTAATGAGGGCGGAAAGTGGCGTGCAGCCCACTTCCCCCTTATTATTAATTAGTTTATTTTACTTGTTTATTTGATTAAATAAATCAAATTTGGTCCTAATTGGATTAGAACTCATTAATGAGAAAGACTTTCATTGTGATTGGTAAACTAGTTTAGAACTAGTATAAACACATCATCCTCCTTCATAATTAAGTGATGAGTTTTTCTAGATTTCTAGATTCAGTATTACTAATTTATTTCACTCCGAAGAGATTTCCTAGTCTTTCACTATGGAAGATCTAACCGTTCGTTCGCAAAGGATTATCACCGCTCGGTTGGAAGATCTATAAGTTCTAACTCAGTTCTGTTATTATTATCATATTCGTTGTTTTGTCATAATAAGGGAAGATCTGTTTGGGAAAATTTTAAACTTCCACTGCTGTACTTTTGAGGTACGTTACATCAATTTCCTAACAGTAATGCACCTGGGAGGCCCCAAAGCTGCACTTCGACTGCTTTAAGAAGAGACCATGTAACCTTAACAGTTCTAGGACGAGGCGGATGTGATACATATGCTCCAACCATGTCTTGTTATACGGCCCAAATATATCATTCATTAAGCTCTGAAACGTGGATGGTGCGTTAGTCAGACCAAATGGCATGGCGAAGAACTCAAAGTGTCCATGATGTGTCCACATCCTCAAGGGTTGCTTCGCGCACCCCACAATTGCTTAACGTAATCACGAGTGGACAAATTTAGCCTTCTTAATTATTACTTAAAATTTAATATAATTAACACGTTAATTACAGTTGCTTGGCACACCTCCATAGCTCTCGCTCGGCTCCTCTCTTGTTGTCCATGTCAAATCTACATTAAATATAAATCCAATAAAATGCTGTCATGTGGCAAGTAATTCCTTTTTTTTATAAAATGTCTAACTTTTTCATTTTTGCTCCAATTTTTATAAAAATTATACCAAATTAAATATCTTTTTATGATTAGTGTCATATATGTAATTTTAAAAAAAATCTGATCAAGTTAGATCTGATTCGATTTGTTTGAATCTATCTGGTTCGAAATCAATTCAATTAAAACCATCCTAAATATCATTCTCATCATAACTCTAGTCATGTAACATATATGACCGGAATGTGGAATCAGCATGGTGCTGATGAAGTTTTAAAAGGCGGGCCCTCCACATTTGAAATTAGTCAAACAAATAAAAAATGAAGATAATTAGTTTACTAGAGTTAAAAATGTTACTTATACAATTATATAATCTAATATAGAACTTCCAAAAAAATCTAATACGAAGAATAGAATTGCGCAAAGTTAAAAAAACATTATGTTTTTATAATATATAAAGTTTATATCAATCATCCAATACAATTGTAACAGAGTCTCTTATAACATTACGACATTCTGTAAACTCTTTAATTCGATGAAGAAGTGGAGTATCCCATCCTGTAACACTAGCGTCGTGATAGTAAGACCATGTTGTAATCACTGGTGGCAACAGAGCATTGTCGTTAAGCCAAATCTGTGCATCAACACAAGTTGTCATTTTATGCATATCATATGGTAATGTGAAAATAAAAAAGGTAATGTGAAAACAAAATGGAACTATAAAATATTGTTTGCTTACAGCTATGTAGTGTTGTTGGGAATGAAGCCGAGCAATGCAAAAAATTGTCTTTGGAGGACTACTACCAAGAGGAGTGATCATGGGCAAACAAGTGACTAGTTCGTGGAGGTCAAGATGCACTAAAATAACCTGGTATAACGTTGCAAAGATCAACCCTGTGTGCGGCACGTGTATCCAATGCCGGGGTGGTGCAGGACTAATGTATTAGTCTATTTGCTACTGCAAGTCATCAATAGTGTCAAGAAGGCATATAGGATCATACAGCCCACGATGACGATCTAGTTCTTCCACTAACTCCCTTCAAACTCTAACCCATTCTTTTTCTCTCCATCCTAAAAGCTCTGCAAATGAGCGATATCCGCAATGTCCATCTCCAATAACGTCCACAACTTTACTAATATGCTCAAGCATGAATGTCTCAACATCATTACCGAAATTAAATTGCATTTGATTTTGATTCCATTTGATATCCTAACCACGTCCACGAGACCCATGATGTGATATTGTACCCTTGGATTTTTTTGTATTTTTTTCAGTGTACTCCCACGCGCTTAGGTCTCAAGTGGTTGATTTTTTTTTGTCTTCCCTTCGTTTCATGAATCGGTGGCTCTTTCATAGTATTAAGTTTTGGATTTCTCATCTCATTTCATTTTGCATGAAGTCTTTTTTTCTTGTGCTGACATACAACCTGATTGAAACTCATCAACTATGGTTTTTAGGACCATATCATCAACACTTATATCATCAGCCTTGTCATTGTCTTGTTCCTTATTTACATACCATTCAACTCTTCTCCAAAATTCATGTACCATTGATGGATATAGTGGACGATTATCACGAATACAAGTTTTTAGCTCATGTGGACATGGTAAACCATAACACTCCCTCCACCAATAGTCATTGCATGTTGGATCATACTTTCCTCCTATGACCTCATCATGCATCCTTATTAACTCCTTCATGCACTCATTTGACACCATGTACTGAAGTCGACTAAGTGTTGGCATCGTATCCAATGCCGTTGGAATGGTGCATCGTGACAACTCTAAAGCTCCCTTCACTTCATCCAACTGATCATTCAGTAAGTTGTTTATCTCAACAAAAACATTGTCAAATCCCTTAACATATGTGGCTAATTGCAGCTTTAACATTGCATGCGCAGATTCTACCCTGTAGCACAAAAGTTAATGCAACAAAACTAAAGAAATTATTCATATTTTTTTTATAAAATATTGATTACCTATTAGTAGTTCTTGTGCCAAAATGCATGACATGGTCAGTCCACACTCTCACTAAACGATCTTTGTACGGGTCTAACCAATTTTCAGTAAGATATCTCATAAGGCCCCAACTGTTCTTCCATTTCGATCTCATATGTTCCAGCTGCTCCTCATATTGTTCAACAGTGGTTGAACTAAACAACTTCATGCATCCTTTTGAAAAGGATGTTTGAACCGTCTTCATGTTGCTCAATTTTAAAGCTTTATCTTCTATGTTACGCTTGACATGAACCATGCACAATAAATGCTTGGATTCTGGGAAAACTTCACTGAGTGCTTTTATCAGGACTAACTCTCGGTCAGTCACAATGGTGAATGGTGAACGAGGACATATTATCTTTAATTCATTTAAGACCCACATGTAATGTTCTGCGCTTTCGGCTCCCATTCACGCAAATGCAACAGAAAGTCTGGTATTATCTCATTCGATTTGATCTGTTTAAGTTTGGTCTGGTATATTAGATTTATATTCTATGTGTGGTATACAACTATCAAAAGTTGGTTTGATGTAGTCTATTTACACGTAGTCCGGTTTGGTCTGGGATCATATAGAGTCAAATTAAAAAAACATCCTAAAAAGTGTAAATTATACTCCCTCCGTCCCAATTTGATGGTCTCATTTCTTTTGGGCACAAGTTTTAATAAAGTGGTTGAAAAGGTAAAAGTTGTGGTTGAGATTTGAGTATAATAAAGTGAAATGATATGAACCACATATTTCTTTCTAAAAAAGGAAACATGACCATCATTTTGGGACATCTCAAAAAGAAAATACAGGACCATTATTTTGGGACCGAGGGAGTAGTTACTTTGTATTACCATGAATGATAATTAAATAAAGACAGTATCCAATACAAAGATGAATGAAACGTATCTATGATCACCCAAATATTACCGAATATTGTATGCGATAAATTAAATGAAACAAATAAAAAAAGCCGAGATACAAAAAGTGGGAAATTTGAAGTGATTATTATAAAAATACCTCATAAGAATGAAAGTCAAGAGTACAATTTTCTAGACAATCTCCAGATTCATTCTTCATTGTATAAGAAGATTGTAAAAAACTTCTAAGAGAATTATAATGTGTTATTATTATTTATATATTTGGTGGAAGTTGGAATTTGTAATCTATTAGGATTATGAGTATTTTTTAAAGGTAATTATTTTTTAGGTATAAAGCTAAAAAAAGTTTAAGGAAATCTAACGCCATATTAAGTGGATTGATTTTTCCGTTGGAATTTAACTTTAGGAAAGCAACAAATTTGAAAATCATTAGAAATAGTATACTACGTCAGTTGCTGCTTGAGTTTCCTTGACCAAGACTGCAAGTGGACAAATTGGTCCAATAGCAAAAAAATAGAGGCGCGCCTAGCAATTTTGGTGGTGCGCAAAGGACGCCCGCTCAAAAATTATGTAGAAGAAAACCCAATCGCATATATTCTATCAGTCTATCACGGGAGCAAAATTAGACGGTAGAGGTAAAAATAAAATTTTAATGACAGTAGAGGTATGCGTAACTCAAATTCGCAAACTCTCGCGTGAGTTTTAATAGAACTATAATTTTACTTTCATAGAAGGTAATCTAATATACCCTTTTAATGAGAGGTTTTTGTTACTCTCATTAATTTAGTTTAGTTTCGTGTAGTGCACCTGTTGCGCCTCCGAAAAGATGGTCCACTGTGAAGTGTAGTGTGTTATTATGTTAAATCCTCGTGTTTCCTTCATAACTCAATTTGATTTTCAAATCTTTGATTGACGAATCGATGTGCTTTTCACGAAGAATCATCTCCTTGTATGATTGATTTTGTGGGTATTGCTTGAAATGAACGAGGTTTTTGTACTAAAATTTTGAAGATCCCGGTGTCAAACACTTTTTGCACCTCTTAAAAGACGACCTGATCACTTGGAAAGGTAAATTTGACAATGTCCTTGTCACTTATGTCACTCAATTATCAAAACTTGAAATATAGATCGATGATAAAAAACAATTCCAATTTTTACCATTTCAGATATATATATTATGAGAGCTAGAAAACCTTTCTCCATATCCTCGCTCTCCTGAGTGGGCTTGGCATGCCATTTGATTACGTGTATATACCAGATGGCATATATATATAACTTGTACAATCTTCGTTCTACTTACACCTAGCCAGCCAGAAATTAAAGCTTGAATTCTAGCAACCACCCCAAGACATCTATCTATATATATGTTGAAGAATTGGTCAGGATTCTTCAATTCTTAATCACTTTTTTTTTGTTTTCTTGATCATCAACTTGATGATGGCGACAAAATGGAGGAATTTGGTGGAGGAGATCAAACCGGTGGTGATGATGGTGATGGTGGCGGTGGCGTACGGCGGAATGAGCATTCTGTACAAAGTGGCTTTCAATGGTGGGATGAGTTTGAGGGTTCTTATTGCTTACCGCTTCATCTTTGCCGCCGCTGCTATTACTCCTTTTGCCCTCTATATTGAGAGGTTTGTCTTTTCTTCCATCACTTCATTTCTTATTTTCTAACTTTTCTTAGCTTTAGAATTAATTCTGCTTTTGCTTGTTTTTTATAGGCAAAAATGAAATAAGAATCAGTTTTACACAAGTTGGTCTTAGTTTTTTGAAATTTTTTATGAGTGATTTGGAATACCCAGAAATACTTTTGCAGTTTCACTCTCTTGAAAATAGAAGCACAGTTTTAAGAGGTAGATCCAAACTCTATTTTGTTCACGTGTTTGAATTGATCACCAAAATAGAATAATTGATTTCAGGTGACCACCTGAAAAACCCTATCGAAGATCCGTACAACGTAAATTCTTAAGGAATCTATATTAGATACACTTTTTTATCGCCTTCACTATCTTTTAATTTTTGTACATTGTAATAAGGTAGAGGGTATCTATGATCTTAGTGATTGAATCCAATAATAGAAACACTTGGAATATTATCAATTTTATCAAGTCAATTTAATACTCCGTACTAATAATCCCTATCTTTACATATCTACACAAATCCCACTACTTCAATAATAAACATAACCCAACTGGCTAGTCACTCAAGTCTCTTTACAAAAACGAATCAAAGGTTAATGATAAAAAGTTACGTTTCTATTTATGAAAAAAAGCATTGAGAATGCTATATTTGATCTCAAATTAATTTACGTCCACTTTTCGTATAACTTAATACTCGTACTAAGAGCCCGTTTAGTAGCACAAAAATCGGGTGATTTGACTTTTTCTGTTGAAATTTATGATGAAGTTCTAGCTGAAGTGGTTGCATTGACATACTTTAAGAGAGATCAAATACAAATCATGCTTAAAATACTAACCTACAAACTCAATAATATGCATCACTTTAAACTTCAATATGCAGTAAAAATAATGTAAAGATGCAGGGGTGAGATCACATACAAACTAGTCCTCCCATTCAAATCATCTTTACATTATTTGTATTGCACATTGAAGTTCAAAGTGTTTTATATTATTCAAGATATAAAATAGCAGTTTCATATTTACATTATTTGTATTGCATATTGAAATTCAAAGAGTGCATCTTTACATTATTTGTACTGCATATTGAAGTTCAAAGTGTGACATATTATTGAGTTTGTAGGTTAGTATATGTATGTACGTACGTACTAGAATCGAGGGACATGTTCCGACCGCCACTACAAAAAAAAACTCGCTCTTTGTCACGGATTTTTGTCACGGATTACGGCCGTGACAAAGTTGTCACGGGCTTTGTCACGGAATATTGGGATTTGTCACAAAAATGTGTTGTCACGGATAGGTCCGTGACAAAATATTGTCACGGATTTGGTCCGTGACAAATTTACTCCGGCGACCGGTTTTTTACTCCGGTGAATACTTTTTTTGCTCTCGGGCATTTGTCACGGACAGATCCGTGACAAATCCGTGACAAATTTCAAAAAAACTTTGTCACGGATGGATCCGTGACAAAATCCGTGACAAACTTCAATTATTGATTTTCCAGCGGTAACCTTTAATAATACAGTACGAAAAAAGGGTTGTCACGGATAAATCCGTGACAAATCCGTGACAATTTTTTTTATATAACACAACCCCATCGTCCATTACAATTGCAAGAACAACAATTATCAGTTCAAAAATTCGTAGATTCGAGTGATGTAGTATCGGTTTAAAGATTGAATGATGTAATCCGTCAGTTCATCATATTCCCAGTTTATGCAGATAAGGTATGTCATTTTAACTAATTTCTTTTAATTGTGTAATAAATTAATTATTAGCTTAATAATTAATTAGTGAGGTTAGTTGTTCATTTATTTAAACTATTAACGTAATTTAGTGAGGTCATGTTAATTTTCATATTATTAACAATATATTATTAAACTATTAACGTAATTTAATTAGTTAAATTTAAATATAAATATTAATTAGTGAATGTGATGCATAATATAGCTAGGATTAGGCCGGTTTGTTTAATTAATTAGTTAAATGAGTTTATATCACCAATGATTAGGCCGGTTTGTTTATTAGCAATTATTGTTATTAATGCATAATTTAGGATGTGTAGTGATTTAAGTATTAGCTAGCTTATTATAGATTAATTAATTAGTGACTTGTAGTGATTTAATTAAGTTAGCTAGCTTATTAGGTTATTAATTATCACCAATTATTATTTATTAGCAATTATTGTTAATGGGATGCATAATATAGCTAGGATTGAAACTTTATTATTATTTAGTTTAGTGTGAATTATTATTGTGAATTATTAATGAGATAATATTTAACAATAATATTTGTTAAATGTAAATTAATTAACTAATTAATTAAGTTAAAACATTGAGGAAATGAGTTTAGAATTTGAGTTGATAATATTAGTTAGATTTAAATATTAGTTAATTGATCAATGATGATGATTAGGTTTAATTTTTTTATTAGTTAATTATTGTTAATGCATAATTTAGGATTTGTAGTGATTTAAGTTAGGATTCAAACTTTATTAGTTTAGTGTGAATTATATATTATTGTGAATTAATGATATTTAACAATATTAGTTAAATGGAAATTAACTAATTAATAAGTTAAATTAGTTAACTTTAGTATTGTGAATAAATGCCATTAACGTAACGTAATAACGTTAATTAGTATTATATGTTAGTTAATTATTTAATGTGTACTATTAGATTTTCATAATTTTAGTATTGTGAATAAATGCCATTAACGTAATAATTTAGTGTGTTTGGTGCACAAATTCTGATATTGTGAATTAGTTAATAATTAAAACGATTAATGCCATTAACATATTACTATTAGTTAATTAGTAATTTTAATTGAACGTTAGTTAATTTTAGTGAACTTTATATTAGTAAATTATTAATTCCGGCTAGCTTAATGTTTCTAAATAATATTTTAGTGGGCGTTTCTACATGATTGAAAAGTTGCTTAATTCAAATTATTAATGCCACAAATAATGTACTGCTTTTAGTTAATTAATAATATTAATGTACTTATATAATATATTGATTATAATATATATACAGACATAATGTATAGACAAAACAGAAGTTGGATGTACCAAAAACATCACGATAACTATGGAATACGCGGTGAATTTTTTAATGGTGTTGCAGATTTTATTAAATTTGCACAAGAACAGAAGAATTATATGGATGACGATAAAATCAGATGTTCATGGACAAAGTGTAAAAATCTTCAATTTGTAACTAAAGAATATTCATTGTTTTTACCAACAAAAAAAATCCGTTGCAACTTTAATATAGAAACAATTAAATACGAAGTACTCCACGTTTTCAATCCCAACTCTTCATAAAGTAACTTTTACCTTTCATGTGCTTAGTGGATGCTTTATTACGCGACATATAATAGCACAAATATCTTTTTTGCTAAAAACAACTCATATGAGTACAACTAATATTCACTAAAGGTGGTGTTCATTAAACATTTTAATTTGGAACATCTAATAAGCTAGATCATATCATATATAGCTTTATTTTTCCAGATTTATTTTCGGAAAAGCTATAATTTTACTTTATTTAAAGAAAAGGATAAAGAATATCGTATAAGGGCGCACACAAGACGTACACACCTAGCTAAGTAGCTAGCTAGGGACATCGACACATTCGCTGAAAATGACTCAATAAATACTACGTAACATTTTATTAATAAAATGTAGGGGTGTTATGTGGATAAAAAAATACACTGTGTATAATAGTCTTTTCATCAAATTAAGCAAGGAAAAGAACTTGATTGACTGTGACTCAATTCAACATGCTAATTAAAAAATATGGTGCTTGGAAGTTGTGTTTTGGAGGGGAAGGTTGATAAGTGTATATTGTAATCCCTTTCATGTTTCACAATTTAGAAATATGGAAGAAATGATTTTGAAGAACTTTTGTAACCCTCCAAAATCCTTTCAAATGTTCAATTTTCAAGTTTCTCCAAATTAGAGGAGTTTGAAGGACAACTCAAATGACAAATTGGGCTCAATTTTAAATAAATATAAATTCAACTATTTTATAAATATATTAAGTGTTTTAAATTATAAGATATTCTTCGTAAATTCTATATTTTCAAATTTGTTACTCTCAAACAAGAAGAAGAGTTTCATCCATTTTCACTTCTCTTTCCTTTCAATGACTAACCTTCAAAACTTTTCGATCTTTATCTCTTCAAACTCTTAAACATACTCTTAGCTAGAGAAAATATGTTTCGCTATGCGTCTATATATGATTAGTTTATTAAGGTTTCTCAAATTAGTGACAGTGTATAATTGAATTTGTCAAGGGTTAAAGTTTTGAATTACTTCAGTTTTTTCTTAATATATAAGTTTTGACAATGTATATCTTCATACTCGTGTTGTTTATTTTCTGGTGACGGAAGGATGGAGGGGAATACGGCACAAAATTGCTATTACGTTTTGACCCATAATTCTATATTCTTCGTTTTAATCTAATCCCCATGTTATAATATAATATAATATACTCCGTTTAATACTAGTATTCCTTATATGTTACACACACGTAAGGGCATTAGTCTTGTCTAGATTGAAAAAGACTTGGTTCAATTCTTTTTATATACTTATTATTATTGTGATCATTATTTATAAGTAGTATGTACTTGGTATTAATTAATGGATATATGTACTAACATATAAATGTTGCACAAGTAACGATCACTCAGGAATAGGAGGCCAAAGCTCACGCGGATGATTCTCGTGCAAGCCTTTTTCTGCGCATTATTTGGGTAAGGAACTATGAATGTTATTATATGAAGTATGTCATTATCATCAGAACAATCCAAATTCAGACGTCTATATATGACTGTGATTGTGGGACTTGAGAATTCACGGTTTGAGACGTGAACCTTTTTTATAGCTACGTCATAAATACTAAATAGGTCATCTTCAACAGTTAACACCATTTTTTACATTAAAATAGTGTAAACATCACATCAAACAATATTTTATCTCCAACAGTTTACACCATTTTCATCACCAAAAAGGAATATTCTCTTTTTATTCTTTTTACTAACTTTTTACCATTATTCTATTTAAGTATCTAACTATCTTATATTTATACATTAGCCCCTCATTTAATACTTTGACATTTCACACATTATTTCACACATACAAACTAAAATACATCATTTTAATATTGTGTGATTTAAATGTTATTATATTTTTTTATCAAATTAATTGTTTTTATTGTTGTTGTATTAGGATGTTTTTACTTTGACTGTAATTTGTTTTAGATTAGATCAGACCAGATTAGATCAAACTTGGGTAGTTATAAAAATACAAAGAAATCAGACCAAGCCACATCAATTCAGACCAGACCAGACCAAATCAGACCGGACCAACAAATTTCAGTCCAAGTAAAATTTTCAAATTTGTTGTTTTAAAAATGGGTCAAAACTATAATAATCTAAACTTTGGGTCACATTTGAAAGAAAAAAAATTACAAAAAGAGAATGGTGCTACAAATGGTGTACGCCATATATAGGGTAAAGTCTCCCCCCCTCTCCCATTTTGGTGTAATGGTGTAAAGTTTAGTGTCATTGTTGGAGCTTTTTTTTACCAAATATTGTCATTGTTATACTAGCTAGGATATTTATGTAATTTAGAATTAGTTCCATTTCAAACAAAATAAAATTACATTTAAACAAATTATACTCCGTATTAGAAAAACTAATTTTTTTGGAAGACGGGGCTTAGATTAAAATTATAGCATTCAGAGAGGGATTAAAATAACAAAAGAACCACAAGTAACCATCCGCCTTTGGACCAGACTCAGAGTTAATCATCATTGACAAAGCAATATAACTTGTTGATCCTAAATTGGGCATAATTGAGCCAATGACGATCACCGCAGAACTCTCATCACCCGCTCCTAATGCAAAAGTCTTGCAATAATAAAAGTAATCAACACAAAAATAAGCAGACTACTTATGAAAAATAAATCGAAAACAAACAATAAAATTAAAAAGATGCTTTCAAACTCTAGACTCTCCTGCACTCTGCACTCCACAGTAGTGTAGCTTCTCTCCTATCCGTGAGAACAACTCCCACCACAGGAAATTCAGCTCCCTTCTCGGATGAAACAATCTCTCCGTACCGTCCTCCACATCATCAAAAATCAAGTTGTTGTTTTCTCCCCCAATAGCCATCTTTCTATATTGATACACAACTTCCTTCCTAAGCCAAATCAATTCTACGAAAATTGGTGGAGCAACCCACCGTGAGCATGCTACTCTCACAGGCAAAAATGTGTGTTACTGTTCACCTGCGTGAATAGTAACCTTTTTGGTTTTTTATATTCTACAGTAAAAGAATGATGTAACTCGCGTGTAAAGAAATGTAACTCACATTGATAAGAAATGTAACTGCAGACAAGTGGAAATGTAACTTGTCTAATACGGATTATAAGAAAAAAAGAAAAGTTTTAATGAAAACAAGGAGTCTAATTGCTCAATTACTTTACATAAATAGTGAATATGTTTTTTTAATATTAAGGCCATAATAATTTTTTTAAGTCATTTTTTTGCCAAAAATCATTTTTTTCACCATTTTTTTTGCAAAAAAGTGATTTTTTGTTTCAATAGCAGGTGCCTTCCTTAAAGAGTGAATATGTTATATTTTTAATATTAAGGCCATTAAAATGTTTTTTAAAAAATCACTTGTTTTGCTAAATAAATCATTTTTTACCAATTTTTTTTGCAAAAAAAATTGATTCTTTTGTTTCAATAGAAGGGCTTTATGTTGTGATGTAACTCATTTTAAGGCAAGTGTAAATGTAACTCGCGCTAATGGAAAATCTAACTTAAGTGTGCAAAATGTAACTTGTTAAGGCAGTTGTAAATGTAACTCGCGTATATGAAGATGTAACTGACGCATAAAAACGATGTAATTCGCGTATAAGAAGTAGGGTTGGACTCGGGCCGGGTCCGGGTCGGGCCTAGGCTCGGGCAGGCCGGTGGTTCAGGAATGGTGGACCCGGGACCGGCCCAGGTAGCCACCGGGTCCGGGCTGGGCCAGGCCGGGCCTCCGGTTTGGTTTTTTTTTTTGCTTTCCTACCCCCCCCCCCTCACCCCCACCCTCCCAAACCCCCCAAACCCCTCCTAACCATCAACTCCAACCCGGGTGGAACCCCAAAAAATGAAAAAAAAAATCAATTTGGCCCGGACCCGGGCCCAACCCGGCTAGGCCGGTTCGCCAAATGTGAGACCTGAGCCCGGACCCGCACTACCCACCGGGCCTAGGCCCGACCCGGACCCGGACCTGAGAACCGGGCCGGTCCACGGGCCGGGTGGCCCGACCCGAGTCCAACCCTAATAAGAAGATGTAACTTCATATATTATCAAATGTAAACAATGAAAACAAGGAGTCTAATTGCTCAAATTAAATTATGTAAATAGTTAATATGTTTTGTTTTTAGTATTTAAGGCCATAAACATGTTTCCAAGAAAAATAATTTTTTTTTGCCAAAAAAATCATTTTTGTTTGCCAAAAAATCATTTTTTTGCCAAAAAAAATCATTGTAGTTTGCAAAAAATTGATTTTTTTTTGTTTCAATAGCTAGAGTTTATTTTGTGATGTAACTCGTGTTATGAAAAATGTAACTCGCGTTGATGGAGAATCTTACTTAGGTCTTTGCAAAATGTAACTTGTTGAGGCAAGTCCAAATGTAACTTGCGCATAGGAAGATGTAACTCGTTCATATGTAGATGCAACTCCATATACCATCAAATGTAATTCCACAAATTGTCTATAAACATAACTCACACATATGAAATATGTAATATAATTTCATGTTTTGTGAAATTTAAATTGAAATAATCATTTTTAATGTCTTAAAAACACTAAAAACACATCAAAGATATAAAGAAATATTTTTTTTCCAAAGAGATAAGAATTATATTATAGAAACGAAATTATGAATATGAAATATAAAAATATTACAGAAATATATATTCTATTGCAATTTCAATTGAAGATAAAAAAAGTAGAATAATTGTATGATTATGAAAGACAATATACTTATTTTATGCGAATTAATAAAATTTCGTAATAATTTGGTAAAGAAAAAGTGTATGAATATAAACAATATTGAGAAATAAAAAAAAGTGTATGAATATGAAATGTAATATACTTATTTTATTTAGATTGATGAATTTTTTGTTATGTATTGATAAAAAATATAAAAAGAGATTCAATTATAATTTAAGTTGAAGATAAAGAAAAGTAAATTTGCAATTGAATTTTAGTATTTCAATTTGATGGAAAAGGAGAAGAATTGAAGAAAAGAAAAAAGAAACGGTGTAATATTTCGAGAGAAGTATTTTAATTAAAGAAACGGTGCCGTATTGGCAGGGCCGGTTTTGAGGGGGGGGGGGGGGGGGGGGGGGGGTAAGAGGGGCGACCGCCCTAGGCCCGAAAAAAATAGAAGAAAAAATAGGCCCAAATTTTTTTCTTTATATATACTGTGAGTAGGCTTCTTTTTTATTCTTAAGTTCAATTAATTAGGCCTAATGATTAATTTTGTTGACAAATTGAAAATTTAAAACATAAATAAAGAGTCTTAAACAGGAACAAGTTTAAAACAGATTATATACATTAATTTTTAGCAGGATCGGTTGTAGTTTTTAAAAGCAATACAACTGTTGCTGCATAAATAAAAGACACGTCTCTCGAGTCCTCACATCTTTTTAACTTTTAAGGTTTTTTATGCAATTTAATTATAACATAACAAATTTATATAATTATTTTAAAGCCCGTTTCTCTCAGATTTCACCCCAATTATTCATTTCTTTCCAAATTTCAATAAGCTATATCTGAGTTCCTAATATTAGTTTTAGAGGACGTCAAATTTGCAATCTTCTTGCGCGAGTCCTCTTGACAGTCAAACATTTTGTTTCTTTGAAAACCTTCATTCTTTCGAGACTTCAAACTTTAGACTCTCATCATCGGTTAATAAATCATGCTCAATTATGAATTCAATATGTGGTAATATTTCTTTTCATTTATCCTTTCAACATAAAGTTTACTGTTGTTATATGTGGCAATTTTATTGTTTGTCATATTTATTAGTGGAAAGAAGGTTGCATATGAAGCAATTATTAATGATTTGCTTCACATTGGTCTACGAGAAACGTTTTTAAGTAATGTTTTTTCTTTTTATTCAATACTCGTGTTGTTACTTTTGCCCAAATATGTAATTTATATAATAATAAACTGATTCTCGTCTTTATTTTATGAACTTCATTGCCCAAATATGATTTATTGTTTGTAATGGATATAGGCCCAAAATAGAGTACCGCCCATAGGCTCAAAAATTGACAGGACCGGCCCTGCGTATTGGGATCGGTATATCATGCGCATGGTGCGCCGATCCCACGGTATAATTTGCGAATATTGCCATTGTTATGATAGGATATATGTGTAATATAGATTTAGTTCCATTTCAAACAAAATTTCATCTAAAACAAACAAATTATATCATATTAACTAAAACATCATCCATTGTTAATTTGTTATAAGTAGGGGTGGGCCCGGTTCAGTAGTCCGGCCTAGTCTAAAACCTAGGTCCATTTAGAGTGGTTCTGGGCCTGGGACCGGGCCTATCCGCCTTGGAGCCGTTCATGTTACCGGTTTACATTTTGGGGACCGAATGGGCGGTTCCGGTCCCGGTTTTGGTCTCGACCCGGATTTTTTTAGGCATTGGTCTAGCCAAAATAAGAAGAAAAAAATTAACGAGAACTAGGACTAGGACCGAGACTAGACGGGTACCCTGAACTGGCCCAAACCCAGAAAAAAGCGATTCCGACCCGAGCCCAAGCAATTTTTTGGACCGGGTAATCTCGGCCCATTATCAGGTCCGGACCGACCCGGGTCCATCCCTATTTATAAGAGATTTTTCCTAATTTAAAATACTAGTTATAATAAAATTATGGACAATGGTGTGACTTGAGAACTTTTAGTATTATAATTATGTTTAAAGTTTACTTTATAGCGACTACACGTACACTTTTGTAGCAATTATATGTAGACTTTAAATACAATTCCAATTAAAATCACCAAAAGTTATTAAGTTACATTTTCTCACTTCTATTAATTTAATCACATATTAGGAAATTATTTGTGGAGGGCGGGCATTCGTGTGGATGAGTGATCTCGTATCATATTTTTCACTCATCTTTTTTTCCTTGTTTTTAATCCTTATATATATAAGCATTATTTGTATCCTTTTTATTTAATCTTTTTTATGTATATTCATCTCTATCTTTTTATATTATCTTTTTATAATAGCTTATCTTTTTTATCTTTATTTTCTTTCTTTTCCTTTTGGTGGTGATATCATGTATCGATTCATGTTTGCCGATCTCAATATCTTTTGGGACTAAGATTTGGATGTTGTTGTTGTATTAGGAAATTATTTCTTATTATAATTAAACTACAAAAGAGAAGTTTAATGCTCCGTACAAAATAATTCAAGAGAAGATCTTATGTACTATCCTTCGTTCTTTAATTCTTGCAACAGTTTGACTTTCACGTTTGCCAATACACAACTTTGACTGTAATTATATTTAATTATGTATTAATTAATAAACATTATAAAAGGTTGATATTTTGGAAATTCACATTGATAGGAATTCAATAACATTTTATACATAATAATTTGATTATGTATAAAACTAGAAAATCGTGTTCAAAGTAAGATCTGTGAATAGTACAAAAATCACAATGTTGCAAGAATTAAAGAACGGAGAAAGTACAAAAATTAGACTATTCAATACATAATAGATCATACGACAAGTAAATCTCATTCCAGAAATTTAATATTCTTCAAATTGGTGATTCTTCAGCTCTAAAATAGTAACATTATAAGCTGAGAACCATGGTATCCATTAGAAAAAGTATCGTACCTATTATTCATTTGATTGATCCAAATCATTATATCATTTTAATTTATATTTAAATAATTCAAGTATAAAATATTCTGATTGGTCTATGTGAACAAATGTAGTGTACTTCACCTATAACTCTCCAAATTATAACGATAGATGTTTTACCAAACCAATTGAGAGTAGGGACTTGATCGCTCGATGCTCGAACTTGATGAGGATTGAGACTTGTACCTTAGCCTTTTTAGGGTATGTGTTATTTGTTTGACTTTAATGTGGTATATCGGTGTACATTCATTATTTATTGTCTCATGCAATGTTCTAAAAGGCGTAAGGCGTGTCGAGGCGGCACAGTCAATCCTTAAGTCTTTGAAGCCTAGACGGATTTAGGCGGGGCTTAGGCGTGAAAAGACGTTTTGATCTTTTAACATTTATTTTAATTTTCCTAGAGCTATTTTTAATATCTGAGTTTAATATTAAACAAAGTTATTCAAGAACGTCATATTATTCAAATTTTCAATGAAAAGGGATTTGTTGAGTCCTTAGTCCAGCAAATATATCTATAACTTACACACAAATCAGGAAAAAGTAATTAAGGGACGCGACCCTTTGTCCCGGCCATTGTAGCACGTTTGTCGCCCAGGGCATGACGACTTGACGTGATCATCACTCATTAGTAATTCCTCATAACAAAACGTAACAAAAAAATCGTTAATGATACAATGAATCAATTAGCAATTAGGCCTTCATTAGTCATTAGTTTATTTTATCCATTTTCATAATTAATATTAATGATGATAATTTTGATAAAAAGTAAAAATTTAAGTCACAATAATAAGCAAGGTCATCTTTGTTTTTAGAAATAAAAACCCCCTACATAAAAAATATATATGATATTTTCGTTGATACAAGTAGTAAAATTAGTACGAGTAATAATTTGTACGGAGTAGTGAAGCAGCATATTCAATGTAATATGGAGCATTAGTGCTTTGCTATTCGACAGCTTCAAAGAATTAAGGCAGCGGACAGCCTGTCAACTTTCCCACACCGGTGGCGAAAGCAAATATCTCTTATCCCAGCCTTATAAGTAACCTCCACATGTCCTTATATTTCTTTGTGAAACGCCTTCAAGCGAAGACTACGCCATCCGCGGGTCAAAATGAAGGCTAGTATAAGTTTTCCGCCTTTTGTCACGCCTAATGGCGATGCGAGGCGTTTAGTTGGCGCTTCAGGCCTAGGCGCGCCTTGGCGCCGCCTTTTGGAGCTTTTTAGAACACTAGTCTCATGTACTAGAGTTTTGTTTTATGAGTATATAAATTCTGACAAATGGGATTCAGTTATTTTAGATTGCAATAAGAAATACTTTGTACTATCTATATCCCATTTTATATGTCATTCTTTGATTGTTGAGATTTGAGTATAATAAATTGAAATGATCTAGATCACGCATTTTTTTTCGAAAAAGAAAATGTAACACTCGTTGAGAAACAACTCAAAAGGAAAAGTTGGACAAATAAAATGAGATGGAGGAAGTATCAGTTAGCTTAGCTTCTTACTAGTTCTTAGATATTACTACAGTCATTCTTTGCAAGAAAAAAACTACACGTCTACACATATATCATATCGCACATGCATGAGTATATATATAGTGAATAAATATTCATTGCAAAAAGTTAATTAATCGCATGCGCAGGGGTTCAATGAATCAAAATTTGTTCGCGGAGAGCGTAGTCCTGACCTCGCCAACTTTTGCCAGTGCCATCGTTAATCTCATTCCTGCATTTACTTTCATCTTAGCTGTTCCTTTTGGGTATACTCTACCCTCCTTATATATACTTATGTTTATTACCCACGCATATACTTCGTGATAACTATAACATGATTTGTTAAAACAAATTGTTAGCATAAATAAATGTTACTCACAAATGCACGCCCACGCATGCATACGTAGAAGCTAGTCTCCACTTAGCTGTAGTCTCCACGCATATACTTTGTTATTATCCACGTGTAAAGTTGTATCATTATCTTGTACGTAGGTTATTAGATTAGATTTCATATACTGTCCAAGTTCATTGTATAACAAAGCTTAGAGATATTCTAGGAGTTCGGTTGCCGAGAGATAAACTCTATCAACCAACGATGTAAACCAACGAGTCATACTTATATGGTGCGTACAACGAAATAATACACAAAGGTGAATTTCATCATATTCCAACTTGGTATCAAACTATTTTTTCGATCCTCTCCCATGACTTCTTCTTCCAAAAGCTCTTTTCACCCCGCTCTTGCGGTCACTTCCATCAAAAATTTAATTCCCCTCATTCTTGACACCGAAAAAGTCCAGTATTCTTCTTGGGCGGAACTCTTTAAGATTATCGCCCGTGCATACGATGTTTTGGATCACATAATTCCTCCAAAGAAAACACCCACCACCACTTCCGCCGGCAATGATGATGACACCGATGACGACTCCGACGATGCCGCAGACTCCATCGACCCTCTTCTCTGGGATGGCTTGGACGTTGTTGTCCTCCAATGAATATACGACACCATCTCCTCAGATCTCTTACTTACAATTCTTGAACCGGACTCTACGGCCATGGCAGCATGGACCCGATTGGCCAACATCTTTCAGGATAATAAGCACGCTCGCGCCATGCATCTTGAAGACGAATTCTCTCATGTTCGTTTGACCAATTTTGCCTCTATTTCAGCCTACTGCCAGCAGCTCCGCACCATTGCCACCAATCTTGCCAACGTCGGTGCTCCGGTCGATCATAATCGACTGATTTTGCGACTGGTCAACGGGCTCACTGCCCCATTTGCCACAGTTGCTTCAATGATCCAGTAAACGGTCCCTCTTCCGACGTTCAAAAACGCCCGTTCCATGCTTCTCCAGGAAGAAGGCCGGAAAGCACATAGCGTTGAGCATGAGTCACACTCCGCTTCGGCCCCAACCGCTCTTGTTCACGTCGACAATCCACCACCTCCCCTGCCCGATGTTCGTGGTTCTCGTGGTCGCTCCAACCCCCGTGGTGGCCGTGGCCGATCCTCTTCCTGCGGCGGCCGGGATCGTGGTCGCACGGACCCTCAACCTCCTGCTGGTCAGTGGCCTTTTCCACCTCCACCATGGGCTTATTGGATGCCTTCCAACTCTTGGAATACTCCTCCATGTCCGTACCCCACAACTGCATGGCCTGGAGCACCTGGACCGTCCCATGCACGTCCCAATTCTAGTGCTCGAATTTTGGGTCCGCGTCCTGCACAAGCTCACTTCACTGCTCCTGCCACCCCGGGTTTTGTTCCTACCGATTTACATAACGCTATGCAAACAATGTCCATAACCCCTCCGGATTATCAATGGTACATGGACACAGGAGCTACTTTGCATATGACGGCAAATCCAGGTTTCTTCACGTCTTTTTCTAATATAAATACTAACACCAAAATCCTAGTTGGCAATGGTAATACCATTCCTATCACCGGTCTTGGAACAGCCACTCTTCCCTCACCAAAACCCCCCTTAAGCTCTGTAATATTTTACACGCCCCTTCCCTAGTCAAAAATTTGATTTCGGTTCGTCAATTTACCACTGATAATACTGTGTCTGTAACTTTGACCCTCTTGGTTTTTCTGTGAAGGATCTCAGTACGGGCACACAAATCATGAGATGCAATAGCTCAGGCCATTTATATCCAGTTCTTCCCAGTCCATCCCATTGGCAACCATGTGCACTCTTGTCAGCTGCAGTTTGGCATAACCGCCTGGGCCACCCTGGGCTCCCTGTGTTCCGCATTCTTAGTCATAATAAAACTATTAACTGTAGTTAGTCAAATAAATTTGTTTGTCATTCATGTGAATTGGGTAAACACACTAAATTACCCTTTTCTAGTTCATCTTTTGTAACCCAAAATCCCTTTGATATAATTCATAGTGATATATGGACATCTCCTGTTCTCAGTTCTTTGCACCATAAACATTACCTTATTTTTGTTGATGATTTTACCAAATTTATTTGGGTATTTCCATTACACAATAAATCTCAATCTTTTACCGTTTTTGCCAAATTTTATGCTTATATTCGTACTCAATTTGAGCGCAATATTAAAGTATTTCAATGTGATAACGGTAAAGAATTTGATAATACCAAATTTCACAATTTTGGTGCCACAAATGGCATTCAATTTCGTTTCTCTTGTCCCTACACATCCCCTCAAAATGGCAAAGCCGGATGATCCATTCGTACTATAAATAATATCACCCGCACCATTCTCCTACATGCCTCAGTACCTCCTACTTTCTGGCCTCACACCGTCAAAATGGCAACCTACCTCTATAATATCCTCCCAAATCAAACTATCTCCTTCCTCTCACCTACCCACAAACTATACCACCAACAGCCTTCTTACGGTCATATCCGGACATTTGGGTGCTTATGTTTTCCCCACAATGTCTCCCCTACTGCCCATAAGCTTCACCCTCGTGCTATACCATGTGTATTTTTGGGTTTTCCAGATCAACACAAAGTTACCAATGTTTGAATCTCACTACCAAACAAATTATTATTTCTTGTCACGTTACCTTTGATGAGTCAAATTTCCCATTTAAAACCTTCCCACCACACCTGTCCCGTCATATAATTTTCTGGACGAACCTCACATAACCATTCGGTGCCCACATCTTATCACCGAAACCTCCCCACTCACTCATACTCTATCCTCACATGGACCTACTGCCCAAACATCTCCTCCTTCCCACAATAATACTTCGGCCCCCCACTCCACCAATAATACATCATCCCTCCACTCCTCACATGACCAGTCAACTACACATTCTCCACATACTGCTTCCAGCAATATTTCATCTCTACAGTCTGTCCAATGCACTTGCTCTGTCTCCTTTACCCCGATCTCCCATCCAAGCCCTCCAAGACCCAAATTGGAAAGTCGCTATGGATGATGAGTTTAGTGCTTTAATTAAGAATCAGACGTGGGAGTTGGTTCCCCGTCCTCCTAACACTAATATTATCCGTTGCATGTGGTTGTTTAAGCACAAGTACAGGTCTGACAGAACACTTGAACGACATAAGGCCCGCCTTGTTGTCAATGGGAAATCTCAACAAGTTGGGGATGATTGTGATGAGACTTTTAGTCCCGTGGTCAAACCAGCTACTATACGCACAGTCCTCAGCATTGCTCTCTCTCATTCCTGGCCACTTCATCAACTTGATGTCAAGAACGCTTTCTTACATGGTCATCTTGATGAGACTGTTTTTATGTATCAACCGCCGGGCTACCGTGACCCTCACCGTCCCTCCCATGTTTTCCGCCTGATTAAATCTCTCTATGGTCTTAAACAGGCCCCCTGAGCATGGTATCAACGGTTTGCTACTTATATTGCTACATTTGGTTTTCTTCACAGCACCTGTGACCACTCTCTCTTCCTATACAAACATGGTTCTGACACGGCATATCTTTTATTATATGTTGATGATATCATCTTGACAGCCTCTTCAGATTCCTTCCGCAACCTCATCATTAGCCGTCTCGCCGCCGAATTTGCTATGACTGATCTTGGTCCACTCACATATTTTTTGGGCAACTCTGTTACTAGGCATTCTCACGGCCTTTTCCTCTCCCAAACCAAGTATGCCTCTCAAATTCTCCAACGTGCCGGTATGATTTCTTGCAACTCCGTAACAACCCCCGTTGACACTCAATCAAAATTAAGTGCCTTGGCTGGACCACCAGTCCAAGACCCCACTCTCTACCGCAGTCTTGCCGGAGCACTGCAATACCTCACCTTCACTCGTCCGGATATCTCATACGTTGTCCAACAACTGTGCCTTTTCATGCATGACCCACGCACGTCTCACTTTGATGCTCTTAAGTGTGTCTTACGCTATATCCAGGGTACATTGCATCTCAGGCTCCACTTGCATTCTTCTCCTGTCAATGATCTCGTTGCATATTCTGATGCTGACTGGGGTGGCTGCCCTGATACCCGTCGTTCCACGTCCGGTTATTGCCTATTTTTGGGGGACAACCTACTTTCTTGGTCATCCAAACGACAACCTACTCTCTCACGCTCTAGTGCCGAAGCTGAATACCGTGGGGTTGCCAACGTCGTTGCTGAGCTTTGTTGGCTACGTAATCTGTTACTTGAACTTCATCATCCGCCGGCCAAAGCCTCTATTGTATATTGTGACAACATTAGTACTGTGTACCTTTCTACCAATCCGGTTAAACATCAACGCACCAAACACATTGAGATGGATATTCACTTTGTTCGTGAAAATGTCGCTCGTGGGTAGGTCCGGGTTCTTCACGTCCCATCACGTCATCAATATGCTGATATTTTTACTAAAGGGCTACCCCGGATTTTATTTGAAGAGTTTCGTTCCAGTCTCAGCATCCGTGGCCCTCCCGCTTCGACTGTGGGGGCGTGTTAGCATAAATAAATGTTACTCACAAATGCATGCCCACACATGCATACGTAGAAGTCTCCACATAGTTGTATAACTCCATTAGATTAATTATTATACTTTGTTATTATCCACGTGTAAAGTTGTATCATTATCTTGTACGTAGGTTATTAGATTAGATTTCATATATTGTCCAAGTTCATTGTATAACAAAGCTTAAAGATATTCTAGGAGTTCGGTTGCCCAGAGATAAACTCTATCAACCAACGATGTAAACCAACGAGCCATACTTATATGGTGCGTACAACGAAATAATACACACGGTGAATTTCATCATATTCCAACTCAAATTACCTCACTAAAATCGTTTAAGAATTTCAAAATAGGAGTTTTGTCTTAATTATTTCGGGTAACTATTGTCATGCATTTTTTTGGCATTCCCATACACTGATATTTTGAAGTTTCAAAACGTCTTTAATCCTATTTCGAAAATTTTACCATGAAAATTCCACGTTTTTTTTTGACAAAAAATGAAGCATATGCATATATGCAATTGCACGTCGTTTATAGTGAAGTCAAACTTTATCAAAATGCTAAACACCCTATTATTTGTTACGGTATGTGTACTATCCCGATCAGTTGAACGTATTGGTGTTATAGAAAATTAATCTCTTATGAATTTATTTTGTGCATATAAAGAAGTGTAGGTAGAGTGAAACCTATTTGGTGAATATGCTAGCGCTTATATTTCAATTCATATATATTCTAACTTATAAACTTTGCTACTTTGAAATGCTAGCTTGTAAAATGTGAAAATAAAACTTGTGTGGTGACCATTTGTGTATAGAAGAGAAAAATATATTTATATACTACTACCTCCGTCCCAAAAAGAGTTAGAAATTTGACTTTTCTTAGTCAAACAGCCTTGTTTTGTTCACTTAATTAGGATGTCAATTTTTAATTATATTCTAATTTGGAGTTTACAACTTTGAAGAGATTTTAATGTAGTTTTGAATATGTAAATTCTATTTATTAAAAATTGAATTAATTATCCATACGGAGGGTTGACTTTTATTATTGGTTGACCAAAAATTGTTGACTTTGCAAAACAAATTGGAACGGAGGGAGTACACCGTATGAATTACGAAGTATTATACTCTACTACTCCGTATAATGGAAAGGTTATAGGATGGTAAAGTAAAAATAAAAATGATCAAATCATAGAGTTGAGGAATGGGTCTTCCTCCGTTCTCTTTTAATTGTAACAATCAACATTTCACGTTTGCCAATGCACAAATTTGACCATTGATATCTTTCATTTCTTATTATTAAAAAAATTATAAAAAATATATTTTCAAAATTTAGAATGAGAAGAATTTAATAATATTTTTTAAAAATTTAATTTATAATACATTAATAAATAAAATATAGTCAAAGTAGAATATGTGAATAGTGCAAAAAGTCCAATGTTGCAATTAAAAGAGAACATATGTAGTATATGATACGTGAGTTTTGCTTCGTGTACATAGTGGCTTACGTACAGGCTCAAGTGTGATTGTCTGTGCACAAACAATTACGATTGGGTTTTAGTAAAGTGAAATGTTTGTGACTCTAAAAAATGAATTGCTTATGCACATACAATTATGGATCATAGACACTTACTTTTACTAAACCCAAACGTAATTATCTATTTACGGACAATTTCACTTGAGCATGTAAGTGAGTGTGTAAACGACAGTAACGTGGTGTGTGCACAAAGCACTCTCTAGGCTACATATAATAGAACGACTATACATATGGTACAAGGTTGGAAAAGGTGTGTCTCAGAACGAGAGCCGGGCAAGCGAAAGTGGCTGGAACATTACTTGGGATCGGAGGGGCAATGGTCCTAAGTTTCTACAAAGGGGCCCAACTTCAAATTTGGTCAACGCCAAAAATTGGACACGTGGCAGCTGCACCACAACCGCCACACACTTCGGGGTCCCACTTATTGGGTGTTTTCATGTCACTGGCATGCGTTCTCTCTAGTGCAATTTCCTTAATATTTCAGGTAATACACCTAGCACATTTTAAAGATTTAATAATAAGCTGAAAAAATCAATGTGTGCACGCCATTTATACATGATTTCGTACGCCTTAGTTGTCTGTGTAAACATGTAATTCAACAAAAAGTCACATTTTTTTACCCGGACGAAAAAAGACTCTAAAAAGTTTGGCTATTGTTAGGCAAAGATGAGCAAGGTGTACGACTGCCACTATTCTAGCACCGCCTTGATCACCGTCATGGGCTCGCTTCAATCGGTGGTGTTTGCATTCTGTACGGAGAGGGATTGGAGCCAATGGAAATTAGGATGGAACCTTAGGCTCCTAATTGTTCTTTATGCTGTAAGTAAACTAAAAATTACTGTATTTCTCATTGTTTCTTGTCATTTAATGCATGAAATTAGGATGGAACCTTGGACTCCTACTAGCTAGTGTAGATCTAGCTAGAACTTAATTTTGGTAGGGTACGTTGAGCTGAAGATTTGTTAGACTAGTCTTAATGAAGTATTTAGATGGCCGGGCTGCATATAAAAAGAATTGACAATAATTTTCACAAAAAATAAGTTTGCATTGGACTTTAGGGAAATTGTCCTAAATCTGATAAAAAACGTTTGTACATTTCGAAATAGAATCATCATGTTTTTATTTACTAAATAGAAGTAATTATTGTTATGTTTTGGCCGTATCAAACACAACACTTGTATTTTGGAATTCATAAAGACTTTTATCCCTATTTCTGAAATCCTCCCTAGAGTTTATGACTTTAGTCGTGACATGGATCCATCTTTATTAGTATGTATATAAGTCACGAAAGAGATTATGGAGAGCAAAATGTTGTTGGTACAATTGAGAAGGATGTACACACAATGTGTACAAAAAGTACGTACATCAAGCATCACTCTTACGGATCGGAAATAAGTTGGGAATCGCATTATTTTATCTTACGAAGGGTGTACTAAGTAATAATTAAACAGTAGTACAATGTATTCTGACAAAGTCAGAACATAACATGATCAGTTTATCAATTGTTTTACATGGATTACTATTATTATTGTAAAATACGAATTATTGTTAAATACGAAGTACGTAGTAACAAAGGGTGTGTTTAATTGAATTTGTATGTCCAAAGAAATCGATGTTTTTGAATTGAATATTTGTTTAGGGGGTGATAGCATCGGCATTGGCAATTACTTTTACAATGTGCAGCCTACGAATGAGAGGCCCTTTGTTTGTATCGGTTTTCACCCCATTGACGCTCGTGTTCGTGGCCATCGTTAGTACTCTCTTCCTCAAAGAGGAGCTTTTCTTGGGATGGTACCTATTTTCACTACCTACTTGCTACACTACATCTTCTCCTTCATTATACTCGCTCATCATTTCTCTTTGCCTAACTGATAAATATTAGCTGGATAAAACAAGTTGCTCTTTGCGTTTCTTAAAATTCTTATCACTTATCTTTTTGGGACGTTCTAAGAAAACCGCGTTTCCCTTTTTTAGAAAGTTTTGTGTGGTCATTTATATTTTTCTTGCTCAACCACAATCATACATATTACTTTATTTTCACTTTCTTAAACTCCAATCAATTAACGCTTATGACATTTTTATAGGGGTTGGATTTTTCTTACATTGGGCAGTGTGAAAAAAATAATCAAAAAGATGTGATCGATAAAGATTGAAGAAAACGAGAAGTTAAACTGAGACCTACCATTTTGGAACGCTAATGACAACATCAATACATAATCATACTCCTTCCGTTTTCAAAAGAAAGTCACGGTTTGACTTCACGATTATTAAGGAAATAAGTTGACTTTACTGTAGAAAACATTGTTTATATACTGTTTGGAACTTTTTCGCACTGTTTGGATGTAGATTTCTTTGTCAAATAAGGAAATAAGGGAAGTGTGACTTTGTTTTTGAAACATCTAAAAAGGAAAGTGCGAGTTTCTTTTAGAAACGGAGGGAGTATTAGATTATAGTGATCGGAATGGAAATATTGGGTTGGAATGTGGGATGAAAATTTCACACCTAAAAGATCGAAGTAGACAAAATTCGGTGTGAGTCCGTTGAACCCAATAAGATCGACTTAGCAATCGATCTATGTTACGGATAAAGTGTGACTTTGACAAGGATTAAGGTTATATACGAAGTATTGGTTAGGGCGGGATCAACAAATGAGAGTACTATAATAAAGATTATTGTGATACTTTGAATTTGGATTAAAATTTTCGGGTATAAATTTAAGTCTGATATGACCTCATCTTGTAAAGGTCTAATCTGACTTCAAGCGAAAACATTTTTGTTGCATCGCTTGAATGCCTCAATCCCCATCGTGTAACATGTCAATGATGTTATGTGTTACTCTTTTTTATTTGTTCCAAAAGTGTGATCGGAGCGGTAACAATAATTGCGGGATTATACATGGTGATATGGGGAAAGAAGGCAGAAATGAAGAACATCTCTAATGTAATAACCCCATCTAGAAGTACCTGGAATGAAGAAGAAGAATGTTCAAATATCAACCGGAGAAATGGTGTCATCGACCTTGACAACAACCACCACGTTGTCATTTCTCCCGACTTGAATTTTCAATGGTACTCTAAAACTGAAGGAGTAAGAGGAGAAGAAAATGAAATGAAACTCAAAGAAGGAACAATTGTTGGACAAAGTTCCAATGTCTAGCCAGCTATCTTATATTATACGTCCCCTACCCATTGTGTAAATTGTCAAAGATGTTACGGAGTATGTGTTTACTCTTTTTTATTTGTAATATGTATAAAAAATGATGGTAATGTTATATATTATACGTATACACTGTAATAGGAGTATATTTTTTCAACAATCGGATGTAAAGTTTTATCTGAACTTATACAAGAAAATAATATTATTTTCTTTTCTAAACTCACAGTTCTTATGAACTATGGGTAAGCGGTAGCCTAACAAATCTGTAACTTATACGGTGTATCGGTCGATTATTACTACGGGCACTACTATATTTTTAAAATATATGGAGTATAACAAAAAAAAGGATGACATGCGGCCTCATCCCTGAGGGCCTCCGACACCGACCTGACGGCAGATGGGAGGATGTATATTGAACTATAATCACAATCTGACCGATAGAGAATGAGACTCTGTCCCCGGTACTTGCAGAGATTCTATGCATTTTTATCATAGTAACCTCTCATCACAGTTGTCGGGATTTGAACCCGGGACCTTACCCTTGTGGCACTCCCTCACTACAGTTGAGCTACGCCCACCGGTTATATGGAGTATAACATATCGAAGATTCAATTTGTACAACTGAATTTATTTATAACTATTACGAAGTATAAGTTAGTGATTTGAGTTTGCTTTCTCAGCATCTTAATCTCATGTTCACTCAAAAAATGCATCTTAATCTCATGTTTAAATTTTGAAAGATATAAACATCTAGCATGTAACCAAACCTACATGAAAAAAATATTATAGAAACACAAATCACTTATTACTTTATTACAAATTGTCCTGAATATGAGTTAAAACGTTTTGAAATTTCAAAATAGGACATTCATGTTTTTATTACCTAAATAGGAGTAATTTATGCTCAATTTGGAAAAAATTGTCATGTTTAAAGCTTGGTAATGTCAAACTTGGCAGAAATTATTCCTTATTTAGGGAAAAAAATATGACAATCTCATTTTAAAACTTCAAAACATTTTTACTTCTATATAAACACCATCTTAATTTGGACAAATAATAGGATATCTATAGAAAGAAGGATAATTATTAATCGGATTATCCCCTAAATATAAATGCACAAATAAGACTCGAGGTTCTTATTACCTAGATAAGACTAAATATTACTTTTTTAGCCCTAATACAATTGATTCATATAATTAATTGTCTCCTTGTACATATCTTTGCATAATCAATGTCAATTTGTTGATGGCGGAGCAGTCCTATGGTGGCAGCAGACCACCGGCGGCGGTTTCCAGCCGTGGCAGCGATGAGCACACATAATTACTCCTATTTACATAATTTAGAACATTAACTCATATTTTTGCATTTGACACATGTTTTACTTCTTTTTGGAGAATTTACTCTATAAAGAATTGGTGTGTCAATATATATACAATTTGAATCAAATAAAAAAGGTACTTGACGCGTAAAATTTGAATATACAAGTTGTATGTGGATGAGATCGTGAGGCTACATGGGGTTCCAATAACCATTGTATCCGACAGAGATCCACGATTCACATCACGATTTTGGCCGAAGTTCCAAGAGTCTATGGGAACAAAGTTGAAGTTTAGCACTGCTTTTCATCCACAGACGGATGGACAATCTGAGCGGGTCATAAAGATATTAGAGGATATGTTGAGAGCTTGTGCATTGGAGTTCCAAGGAAGTTGGGACAACCATTTAGCACTTGTGAAGTTTGCCTATAACAACGGTTATCATGCGAGTATTGGTATGCCTCCATATGAGGCATTGTATGGGAGGAGATGTCGTACACCTTTGTGTTGGGATGAAGTTGGCAGGGCCAAACTTGAGAGAAGAGAATTGGTGGAAATCACCAAGTCAAAGGTGAAGATGATCGTGAGAGGCTTAAGACGGCCCAGGATAGACAAAAGAGCAATGCCGATAAGCGCCGAAGAGCCTTAGAGTTTAAGGTGGGAGATGAGGTATTTTTGAAGGTTTCACCTTGGAAGGGAATCATACAATTTCAGAGCCGAGGGAAACTTAACCCACGATACATAGGGCCATTTGTAATTTTGAGAGAATTGGGGTCGTAGCATACTGATTGCGGTTGACTCCAGAATTGGAGAAGATACATAACGTGTTCCACGTGTCTATTCTTAAGAAGTATATGCCAGATCCGTCTCATATACTAGAGAAACCACCCGTGGAAATACTGGAAGACTTGAACTATGTCGTGCAACCGGTAAGAATATTTGACAGGCAAGTAAAGAAGCTAAGAAGCAAGAAAGTTCCAATGATTAAAATCCTTTGGAAGAGTGACGGAGTTGAGGAAGAAACTTGGGAAACAGAAGCCTTGATGAAGGAACATTTCTATTTGAATAAGCATTGTGAATTTCGGGGACGAAATTCCCGTTAAGGGGGGGTGAACTTGTGACACCGCACCCGGATGTACTTGAATTTAAAATTCAGTATGTATTTGAATTTTTCTGGCGAATGATTTCGTGTAAAAGAATGATATATTTAATTAATGAATGATTAATTAAATTATTTATCAGACCCGTAGTATTGGGAATTAGCTATCAAATAATTAGTTGAGTCATCATAATAATTATAGAAGCCCAAATAAAATGTCAACCGAGTTGGGAAAAATGTTTAGACAACTCAAGCGCTATTTTGACCCAACCTGCCAGAAATAGCATGGATAATTGGGAGGGACTTCCTACGCCCACTTGGGGTATTCTACCAGTCAAATAACTCCCAAATAATTGGGAGTAAGACAAGAATAAGGGGGACGGGGCGGATGAAGGCAAGGGGGGAAGTCTCATTGAGACAAAACCCATACCCCATGTCATGTCCTCCACAATTATATTGTGGTTGATTAAGGAGAATCCTCCTACCACTCTTGTATCATCCGCACAACTCAACAACAAGAGAGATAAGCTCTAGGAAAAATCTCCACTAAGCTCAAAGGAAGCAAGGAGGAAGGAGAATCCAAGAGGGAAAAGCTAGGAGTTGGGTAAGAACTCATCTAGTATTCTTTAACTAGTTTATTCTTGTATGATTTTAAAGAAATCATATGGTGGATTAAACATGAGGTTCTACACGTTTAAAAGTGTAGAATATTGATATAAAGTGGTGTTAATTAACTTAGAAGAGTTGGTGAATCGATAGGAGTCGAAATCGCCGGAAACCGCCACTCCAAAGGAGCTGTTCGAATCTGCAGAACATGAAAGCCGCCCGGCTTTTGTGAAAGCCGCCCGGCTTTTGGCTGGCAGTCCAGTTTTCCACTTTCAATCGGCCTAGAACGGGGATTGATCGAGGGGCATAACAAAGGCAACTATTGTAGCACATCACGCGGTGAGGATGGCTGACTATATTGCTTATAATTAGAGAGTTAATTTCATAAGATTACCTAAGGTATTTTAAATGTGATTTTCATGGATTATTAATGATTAATAATGCCTAAATGAAAATACTATTGCTTATGAATAGATGAAGCATGATATACAACTCAGAGGAAATTGTGTATGATTATGTGTTATGAAAATGAGGGCATGATAATGGAAATTAACTATGAGACATTGTGATAAAATATACTTTTACTTCATGTAAAGAATTCATGAATGGATAAAAGTGATAATTTTGATATTGAGATTTAATTATATTTTAATTGGAAAATCAATTGAAACAAATTATTTGTCTATGAATTAAGAACTTGGTTGTTCTAAGATTTTTCGACTAGTATTGAAGTACTAGTCGAGAAGTGAATACGAATAATGATAGAGTTAATCCTAAGGGATTGGAATATGAATGGTAATGCCTTAAGTAGTCTTAAGAGATACTTTAAAGATGAATTGTATGAGCTACAAGGTATGTTAGGGGTAAGCCTTAAAGGTTACTCTAAGTAACTGGATTCTAAGCATAGGATTTGGTTGAGAATCAGACTAAAATGATGAATTAGAGCCGGACTCTAGAATTACATGGAAACATAGTTGGGCCGAGCCTTTGCCATGTAATTGTGAAGTACATGGAAACGTAGTTGGGTCAAGCCCTTGCCATGCATTAGCGAATATCATGGAAACGTAGTTCGGTCTAGCCCTTGCCATGAAATTGTAAGATTGCATAGAAATGTAGTTGGGTCGAGCCTTTGCTATGCAATAGTGATGTGTTGAATTTTGGCTAGCGGATATCATAGAAATGTAGTTGGGCCGAGCCCTTGCTATGAAATCGTGGCATGATGAACTATATGAGTTGTCGTGACTTGGGGTCACGGGAAATAGATATGGTGAACTCTAAATGAATATGGGCCAACGGGCCGAATATTTGACTTTATATAAAGTAAGTATATTTTTTAAAATGGGGTAACCAGGGGTTATGGCCTATAATATAATATCACCCTAGATTGAGGGTCTTAGAAATTGAAACATTGATTATATTCAGTGTAGTTGTCATTGTACTTTTCAAATGCTTCAAAGTACTGACCTCCCCTTCACAGGGGAGGCCACCTCACAGTTTCATGTAGAACTTGAAGGTTGCTACCATCGCCCGTTGCTTCGGGAGAATCAAGGGGAGAAGACGTGGTTCGTTCTTCCTCCGTTTCTGTTTCAAAAACAATTACATTAATGTTCATGGATATTATTTTTTGAATAATTATTTGGGGACTTGTATGCCTAAGATTGCTAAGTGTGGCTTGAAAAGTTGAATTAATGTTTCCCCTGCTTTAATAAATATTTTACATTATGTTTGTTTATGGATGTACTATGTGTGAATGATATTCAAGACGCCTTGTATAGTATGGATGAGTCGAACTGCGATTGACTATTCATACTGTACGGCGGGTTGTTGACGTATCCGGGTAGGTTCGAGGCGTGACATGTAGGCTCAGAAATTTGAGATATGATGACAAAAAAGGCTTGATATGATGGAGAAAATTTGTCTAAAGATATGTAGTTTTGAATGGAATGAAGTGTTTTACCTGTTTTGTTGGTGAGAGTTGAACAAGTGGCAACTGAGGAAGATTCTCCATGAACTGTACATACATAATCCTTGAGGTGATTAGGAACTTTTCTGGATCTGGGAGGTCTTGATGAAAGAAGTGTATTAGGAGTAGAAGATGATAATATAGGAGGAGTTGAGGTATTATCAGAAGAAAATGGTATGGAAGTAGAATCCTGAACAGGAGGAGAATGATCTGGAACTGTAAGTGGAATGACGGTGTCATTTGAAGTATTACATGAATCTTGGAAAGGAAA